TTTCCCGCCTGTCAGACCCCATCAGTGCCGACCCAACTCCACCACCACACGCACGCCTCGCGGCGGATGCGCAGCAGCAAGAAGGTTTCGGTCATCCCTTGAGGGTGAGCCTAGCCCTGCTCGCCAGAAAGACCCCCCCCTTCGCTACAACCCATGTCTAAGCAAAAGCTTGTCGAGGAGCGAGGGGAAGAAGGGAGAGTTTGGCACAATAAAACAAGGGCTACAGTCTCGCCTGCCAAATTATCTCCGCTACAAATCTGTGCTCATGTTCTCTGCTGAGTACCATCTCTTCTTTCTGTATTATGTCTACGGAAGGCTAGTTGCGGCAGTCGCACCTATGGTAAACTGTGCCTGACTACGTTGTTACAGTTTTCCTCGACACCCAAAAACATTTCTCGCCATACGGCGAGAAAAACGGGTCCAACAAAAGAAGAAAGGGCAGGCCTTTGCTCCATCGGCCGCGGCCGAAAGCGCCGATTTCTGAAAATTTCGGCCGGAAACGGCCAAGAAAACAACGGCCGATTTTTCAAACAAAGCGGCCGATTTTGACCAGGACTCAGCCGTTTTAGGATATAACAACATATTCGCACGATTGAGAGCGAAGTATCTGATTGAGAGCCAGATCGTGCGATACGATGTAGCTTGTCTACTGCTGAGAGGTAGAGCTTGCTGTGCGGCTTGAATTGAAGGGCTTGCCCATAGCTACAAGCCGATACCCCGGTCATCCTGCGGGTGTCTCGCGTTGTGGAGCTACACCGCGGAGCAGAAGCTACGGGAGGGCCTACCGCGCCAGGCGACGGCGCCCTGGAACAGTTTCGGGCAGGAATAGCCAATCTGGGGAAATCTAGCAACGTGCGTAGCTCCTCGCTGCTGCAGCCGATCGCAGTGACACGCATATGGCGCCTTCCGGTAAATGCCGGAGAATGGCGTCCTACTGGTTAGGGCGGAAAATTTCCTATAGGAAAAAATTTAAAAAAGCGTCCCCGGATCTTGCTGATGGAAAATCGACCAGCCAATGAAATTGCACGG